CTACAGTAGAAAGTTGGGGCAGGCCTATCAAAAAAATAAGGAAACTTGGGCCAGGCCAAAACGAACCGCCAAAAGAAGGAAAGGCAGTCCGGCCCGCCCACCTCTGCGCGCCGAAAGCCACTTCCCTCCGTCTCCTCCCTCCACAAACTTTGACCACGTCAACAATCCGTTCCAAAACACATCTCCACCGTCCATTAGCGACAGAATGAACACAATCACACCCATCCACGTCAGCGATCCGCGGCACCACCCCTTCCACCAATCAGCACCAGTTACTCCGTCCCGTTAAATTCGCCGCACCCCTCTCCTCTTCAACCATCGAAATCCACCGAGCGAATCCTTCGCAGCCGCAGCCTTTCCCGCATCACACGCCACCGCGCAACCACATCAGCCGCATCGATGGCGCCCAAGGCGGAGAAGAAGCCGGCGGCGAAGAAGCCCGCGGAGGAGGAGCCCGCGGCAGAGAAGGCCCCGGCGGGGAAGAAGCCCAAGGCGGAGAAGCGCCTCCCGGCGGGCAAGTCGGCCGGCAAGGAGGGCGGCGACAAGAAGGGCAAGAAGAAGGCCAAGAAGTCGGTGGAGACCTACAAGATCTACATCTTCAAGGTGCTGAAGCAGGTGCACCCCGACATCGGCATCTCCTCCAAGGCCATGTCCATCATGAACTCCTTCATCAACGACATCTTCGAGAAGCTCGCCGCCGAGGCCGCCAAGCTCGCGCGCTACAACAAGAAGCCCACCATCACCTCCCGCGAGATCCAGACCTCCGTCCGCCTCGTCCTCCCCGGCGAGCTCGCCAAGCACGCCGTCTCCGAGGGCACCAAGGCCGTCACCAAGTTCACCTCATCTTAGGTTGGTGGTAGTAGCTACTGGGTGGCGTTGTTTTTGTGGCTCAGTCTGTCTGGTAGTGGTAGCAGTAGTAGTTGCAAGTTGGAACTTGAAATCGATGGATGATCTGTGTGTAGTTGGGATGCGGCAAGAATTGATGTGAAGTTGTGAACTGGTGTTGCTTTTGGAGTAATACTGTTTGTCATGGATCTGGAATAGTCGTGGTGCTTGTTCTACATTCGATTTCTTTCATGGTTTGATGCTCTTACCGTGTAACTGTCATATGCCCGGCATTGAACTGATAATTATACATGCACAACTATATACCAAACTGTTGTTATTTACCCAGATGCAGATGCAGTAGATTTAGGCATCATTTGGTCTCAAGCTTCTACACATTTACCTAGATGCAGGTACAGTAGATTTAGGCATCATGTGTGCTGTAGAAGTTTGATAATGTGGAAGAAGCTGCGATCTATGGACTCCTGCATGTAGATTTAGGCATCATGTGTGCTGTAGAAGTTTGATAATGTGGAAGAAGCTGTGATCTATGGACTCCTGCATGGACACTGCTGTTCTGCTATTATGGTGCTTCAAATTCTGAAACCTATGATAAAATTTAATCGATATTTTACAATTTTCTGATGATGTTTCAGAGGAACATAAATATAGTAATGATATGCTAAATTGCTAACTGAATACCTTGTTCACCTTGTTCTATCAAAGGATCATGTTGCACCAGCCTATTTGTTGGGTACTCTTCTGAATGTCAGCTTCATCTTCATGGACGTGAAGCTATCAGCATCTTTATTGGACACTGGTTCTGAATGTCAGCTTCATGGACATGAAGCTTCTCTTTTTGTTTCCATCTTCTGCCGCTCACGAACTGCCCTTACAAAACAAAACAGATGGCAAGATATTCATCCTGTTCAACCTTTAGCATTGATGTCCACTGTTTTAAATGTTCGCCGAGATGTTTAGAAGAATTAGTGGTCAAAGTTATGCATCAAAGACCATGCAAAGTAAAATCTGATAAGTACTTTTTTTTTACCATATACAAAGTATTAATTTAATCCATCATTCATCCTTGCTGTGCCCAGCATGGTTATACTTCATCTGCAGTGTCACTTTAGAGCTTAATGAGCAAGCTCAATGACAGTAGTCAGAATGCTAGATATTCCAAATTTTCCCATGTTCTGTGCTGCAATAGTTGGATTCTGGGTTGACCCATATTTCAGGACTGTTCGATATGAACCCTGGATGTTGTATTATTTGTTATTGTCTTATTGATGAAAATTAGTGGTTACTTTGATGTTGTTTTGTTCAAGCTGAAAATTAAATGGCTGCTTGGAATGTGTATAATTTCTTGGAGCAGTAATTTGTTTTGATTGCCATCTTAATTTATCTATTGGATTCAAAGTTCTTGATACTCTCAGTTATGCCTTTTTGGAGTTGTAGCTCACCAGTGTTGTTCTGAGTCTGGTGAGATTTGAGATCCAAGTTCTTGCAAAGAAAACCTGGCCTTTAAAATATTGAGAGCGTGCAGTAGAGGGTAGTGCCTTTTGAACTGTTTACTCCAGGTCTGGATCTGAAATAATGGTCCCTGTTCTACTTTGTTTCTGATTGTATTGTGCCTTGCATGAAACTTATCATTGTTTTGGTGAAATTTACCGCCTGACTGGACTGTTCATGAATTAATGCACTGGTTAGCAATATTGCTTGGTTTGAAATGTGAAATTTGTTTAATGCTCTGGACTGGGCAATTTCTGGAGTAATTATGGTTTCTACCGCTTGCTGGTCTCTTGTTATGTCTTACATTTGTATAGTGCAATTCTGTGTGATTGGTTTGTTCTTTGATGTCAATTGATGAGTACTATGCAAAGAACTAGTAGTCAAGTATGCGTCAAATTTCTGGAACAGAAGTGTTGTCTTGCTATTGGCATTGCTGCATTTTTACTCTTTCCTGCGGTGCTTATAAACGTGAAATTTCTGCAGTAGTTATTGTTCCTTCTTCATGCTGGTGCATGTAATCAACTATACTTGCATGCTCGCCATTCAAACTTTGAAGGTGCATCTGTAGACCATGCCATACCTTTTCCCAAGCAAACTTTGGTTCTGAGACAGCAAGAAACTTTTCCTCTTGATAATGCTTGGTACAAAACTTTCTGATACTTTTCCTCAATTACTCCAGGTTTTTTTTGGCACTTCCGCCTTTCTGTGATGTTCTTGCAGATCAGTGGAATAGAGACAAAAAAAAAAAAACTTCACTACTGCTCCTGTCCTTGCAAGAGCTGTTTGACTACGACTGTGGGACATGAAGCCAAGTGAAGCTGAGGTATCCACCACATACATAATTTAGATCTCTAAATTCTAAAAACACTTCCTTTTGGTACTTTGCTGTGTGGTTCATGGGACATGATGCCCAGTGAAGCTGAGGTATTCCACCAGCTTGTTTGTTAGTTGCTTCATGGAATGTCTGCTGCATGCTTTAGTTCATCGGATCTGGATTAGTTTTGGGCCTTTGTGGTATGAGAAAATTTTCAGCTTTCATAGGGTTGCTCACATATCTTATTGACAATTCTCTACAAAAGAGTCATAGTGATGACCGGCAAAATCCTGTATTTTATCTGTCTAACAGATTTACTAAATGTCATTTTATACTTGCATATATCTGATGCAAACAAATGCAGAATGATAGGACATACATCTTAGTGGAAATCCTCTTCAAATAAGAGGCACACTGACAACAGATAAATTCTGGATTTTAGCTGTTCAGCTTAGAATTTTTACAGTCCATCTTCAACACATTTACAAAGTGCTTGATATCCGCTGTATATGAATGCCTACTTTTAAGAAGAAAAAAAAGGTGATAAAGCTAAATCTCCATATACATCTAATGTCACTTTAAGAGAAAAGTGATATAGCTAAAGCTTTGTAAACATCTTCAGTTATTTCAGCTAAGTGCTCAACTGGAGGCATCATGCCCAGTTTCAGCTCTACTTATCCACTGTTTTTAAGAATCACTGCAGAGTAATTTCTACTCCATGCTTCACCGTGTGAGATCTTGCAAAAGTGAGGTATGAATCTCTGATAGCATGCATCTCAGTGGCTGTATCTTGTATTGTTATCCGTTCTCGTGGTTGTTTCTTTGAGCACGATGTTCCGAGAGTAATGACACAGATCATACAATTCTCAATTTTACTCCTCGTATTGATGTCATATGCATCTACGTGCAGCCACATTGTCGTATCGGTTTATAGCCCAGATTCTGTCTGGAAGGGCATCTGCTGAAAACTTGTGTAGATCCAATGATCCTTGGAACATATCATCTGTCGGGCTTCTTCCTGTAAACATCTCAAGCAGTAGTATGCCCAGGCTGTAAACATCACCGATAGTGGAGATGGAAGAACCTTCTACAACAAACAGCATCCCGAATTAGATCACTACCTAATAAGTAAGCTGCTACTCTGCTAGCCTTGGATTCCATGAATAACAACAGATGGCGCACCCAATTTTAGCCTCCCTCGACTCACGAATGGTGTCCGTCGTCCCCCTTTTTTAGCTGGAATCTAAATAAAAACGGCTTGTTCTCTGTTAGATCCATGTGTTACTGTTTGCTAGTTGCTAGTTGAAGTACCTGTCTGCCAGTGCGTTGAAATGTGATTCTGTAGGGCTACAAAATTGGAACTTTATGTTCATACGCACATTTGCACTTACACATGGTCTCAAGCTTCTTACAGACTTACCTAGCTAGATGCAGTAGGTTTAGGCATCACTTGCGCTGTAGAAGTTTGAGAATGTCGAAGAAGCTGTGATTTATGGACTCCGGCATGGACATTGCTGTTCTGCTATTCCGGTGCTTCAAATGTGAACATATGCAGATTGTTAAAAAGGAGTGACAATGATTTTGAGTCACTCATCTCTTAATGAACATTCTCCACAGAAAGGAGTGACATGTTAAGTTTTCACTTAGATTCCTTTATAATTGCATAAGTACATCAGATGTACACAAGAATGATTGTGCTGAAGCGTCATATACATCTGCAGTTATTTCAAGCAAGTGATCATACACACACATCTTATCCATTATAAGTCTTATTACTATCACTATCGCTGAAAATCATCAAAGAGTCCTTCCTACTCCTCGAGTTCTATCGCAAGAGATCTGGCAAACTTCAGTACGAATCTCTGATATCATGCATTTTGATGGCTGCAACCTGTATCGGCGTCCTCTCTCTTGGTTGCTTCTTTGAGCAAGATATTCCGAGTGCAGCGATAGAAACCAAGCAATTCTCAGTTTCAGTTGTGGTGATATCATTGGTGTTTGTGTGCAACCACATTGTTGTATCGACCATCTCCCAGATTCTCTCTGGAAGAGCATCTTCTGAAAACTTATGCAAATCAAATGATCCTCTGAACATATCATCAGTTGGGCTCCTTCCGGTGAACATCTCAAGCAACAATATGCCCTGGCTATAAACATCTCCAAGAGTTGAAACAGAAGACCCTTCACCGTACTCTGTTATTATGAAAAAGAATTGATCAAGCCAGTTTATATAAGAACTAGGAATAACGAATAAAAGACAAACACAACAATTTCAGTCACCTGGAGCAACATAACCCAATTCTGCTGTTTGAATTTTGTAGGGTGTTACTTGCAGTTTCTGGAAGGATTCTTGATATGCCAAAGTCTCCAACTCGGGCACTCATGTCTTCTGCAAGAAGGATGTTGTTTGGCTTGAGATCACAATGAATGATTGGTGGCTGACAGTGATTGTGAAGATAATCCAAACCATCCATGATATCTACAGCAACGTTGAGCCTTTGTATAATGCTGAGAGTATTAGTTACTGTGGGCATGCTAGATTTTGGATGAAGGCAATCACTTAAGCTACCATTTGGCATGAACTAAAAAACCAGAGCCTTGAACTCTTGGCCTTGATGATTGATGCTTGAGCAACACGTGATGATCTTTATGAGACAACGGTGACGCACCCTTCTCAGCACTTCACATTCAGCCACAAAACTTCTATTAGATCCAGATTGCTCGAGGTTGAAAACCTTGACCGCAGCAAGAGTTCCCTCATCTTGAAAAGTGCATTTATAGACCATCCCAAAGCTTCCTTTACCAAGCAAATTGGTTTCTGAAAATCCGTTGGTTCCATTTTCTAATGCATGGTAAGAAACTTTTTCATATTGTTCCTCAATTATTGGTGGCTGGAATAAGTTTTTGACCCTTTGTCTATGCTTGTTGCAGATCAACCGGAAGACAACAACCATAAAAGCCAAAAACAGGAATGCTGCTGTTGTCGCTAGAGCTACTGTAAGAGACTTCATCCGCCTTTTCTTGTTTTTTTTTGGAGAATTCTTGTGGCATGGTAGTAAATGAAGCTGAGGTATGCCACCACATAGTCCATTATTTCCAGTGACTGAAAAGTTATGGAAAAGTCTGAATATTCCTTATTTTGGCACTTCCCCTTGTAAATTATTGAAGGACAGATCTAATTCTGACAGTGATGTCAAGTTCTGCAACGATAGTGGGATGGGTCCTGACAAGTTATTGTGTGCTAGATCCAGTTGTTGAAGGTTGCGAATGGTACCAATGCCTTCTGGAATAGTACCGGACAAGTTATTCATGGACAAGTTGAGTGCAACTAGATCCTTTATATTCTTCATAGATTGAGGTATTTGTCCCTCTAATGAGTTATTCTCCAACGAAAGTTCTTGTAGCATGATGCATTCCCCAATGCTGTCAGGTAACTCACCAGATAATTGGTTTCCAGATAGATACATGTGGTTAAGGTTCACTAAGCTACCGACTTCAGAAGGAAGAGGGCCCGACAGTGAATTAGATGACAAGTCCAAGTACTTGGAGAGGAGTGGCAGTTTGAAAATCTACGTAGGAATTGAACTGTTCAGACGGTTATTAGCTAGATCAAGGGATATTAGATTCTTCAGTTTTCCTAAGCTTGTTGGAATTGCACCCTCCAGGTTGGCATTCTGTGCATATAATTCAGTCAACCTCGAGAGATTTCCGATAAATGTCGGTATGAGGCCTGACAATTGAGTGTTGTACAAACCTAACCGAACCAAGTTTCCTAGTTTGCCCATGCTATCTGGGATCACACCGGATACGGAGGTAAACCCAAAACCGAGGACTTCAAGGCTGACTAGATTGCCAATAGCTGAGGGGATGCTTCCAGATATCCCGTCGAGGTAATCCAAACGGAGGATTTGCAGGGTCGTCGAGAGATTCCCTATTGAACTTGGCAGCTGCCCTGTGAAGCTGTTGTCAGCGATGTTTAGATCCTGGAGCTGGCTACAGTTCGATAATGAAGTGATGAATTCCCACCCCTTCCTGTCGTCTGCTTCTAGATCGTTTTGGAACAAGTACAGGAGCTGCAGACCTTGCAGTCTCCCCAGCGCCGGAGGCACACGCCCGCGGAGCCTATTTGCAGAGAGTTCGATTCGGTGGAGTGCTGTGAGGTTAGTGAGTGAAGCGGGGATGGACCCCGTGAACTGGTTCCAAGAAAAGCTAAGAATCGACATGTTGGGAAAGCTGCTGCCAATTTTGGCAGGGATGCTTCTATGGAGCTTGTTTCCATGGATCTGCAATGCTTCCAAAGACGACAAGTTGTACAGAGAGCGTGGGGGCTCACCAGAGAGGTAGTTGAAGGCGAGATCAAAGCTCTTGAGGCCTATGATGTTGCCGAGGCTGCTAGGGACATGACACGAAGCGACGACAAAAGTTTCCTAGGGACTCCGGTATGGTGCCAGTGAGATTGTTTTTAGACAGTTTGAGCGTCTTGAGGCGTGTGAGCTTGTTGCCGAGCTCAGAGGGTAGGTCTCCGAGGAGGTGGTTGGACTGGAGGAGCAAGACCACCAGGCCGGTGCATGAGCTTAGGTTGGCGGGGAGCTTACCGGAGAAGGCGTTGTTGCTGAGGTCAAGCGTATGGAGGTGGCGCAGGCGGTCGAGGCTCGCAGGGATGGCCCCGCCGAGGGCGTTGGAGCTCAAGTTGAGAAACCTCAGGGACGAAAGGTTACCAACCGCCGGGGAGAGGACGCCGGTGAGCCCGCGAGAGGGTAGGCTCAGCGCCACCACTCGAGGCTGCTGCCTGCTGCCTCGGCACCTCACCCCCTCCCAGCTGCAGTATCCGCCACCGCCTGTGCTACCGTTCCACGAAGCAAGCACGTCTCCGTACGTAGCCGCCATGGACTGCCGCGACCTTGATGGCGAGAAGTGCGGCCTCGTCGTCGTTGCCTTGTGTAGCAGCAAGCTTGCAGCTGTGTGGTTTGCCATGTCGGCCGGTATCGAGTATTGACTGGGTGCTTGGCTCCAAGATGATATGCCACTTTATATGATCCAGTGATCATGCGTTGCCATGTATAAAAATATGTAATAAGACGGTGCAATGTCAAAGTGGTAGCCTAGATCATCGCAGTGCACTTTATCTTCAATAACTAAAGTGGTTGATCCAAAGATAATGTCAACATAGATTTGCAACATAAACAAGTCCTTGCCAATCTTCTTAGTGAAAAAGTGGTGTCAACCTTGCCCATGATGAATCCCTTATAGAGTAGGAAGTCCCTCAATCTCTCATACCATGCTCTAGGTGCTTGCTTCAAGCCATACGAAGCCTTCTTCAACTTGTATACATGGTTGAGCTTCTTGCCATCTTCAAAACTGGGAGGTTGCTCAACATATACTTCTTCATTGATGTAGCCATTTAGAAATGCACTCTTGACATCCATTTGATAGAGCTTGATGTTGTGGGCACAAGCATAGACTAGCAAGATTCTAATTGTTTCTAATCTAGCAAATGGGGCATATGTTTCTCTAGAGTCAAGACCTTCAACTTGTGTATAGCCTTGTGCTACCAATCTTGCTTTGCTCCTTACAACTATCCCATCTTGATCTTGCTTGTTTCTATAGATCCATTTGGTTCCAATCACATTAGGTCCCTTTGATCTCTCAACTAATTCTCATACTTAATTTCTAGTGAAGTTGTTCAATTCTTCATGCATAGCATTCACCCAATCAACATCCTTCAATGTTTTTTCTATCTTTTTTGGTTCAATGGATGACACAAATAAGAAGTGTTCACAAAATGATGTTAATCTTGATCTTGTTTGTACACCTCTAGAAATATCTCCAATTATAGTGTCTAATGGATGATCTCTTGCAATATTGGTTAGTTGGAGTATTGGAACTTGATTGCTTGCACTTGCTTGATTATTGGGTTGAGATGATGTACTAGCCACTTGATCTTACACATTGTCATGAGAGCCACTTGTACTTGCTTGATTAGTGTCAACTTGCATATTTGAGTTAGAGAGCACTTGCACTTGATCATCTTCATCATCAATCACTTGTCTAGGCCCTTAAGTCACCAACATCCATGTTCTTCATAGCATTTGAATGTTGAATGCCTCTAACATCTTCAAGATTCTCATTCTCATCTTAGGAACCCTTGGTTTCATCAAATTCAACACCATGCATGTAACACCCCATTGTTAAGCATTGCATTTGGCATTTGCATTTCATGAGCACAAGCATCATCCAAGCATTCATGAGCATGAGCATATGAAGCTTCATTTTATTCACCTTCTCTTTATCACATGTGATGTTGCTCATATACTTAATTATGCTTGTGATCATATGTGACAATGCATGAGATGGTTGTGAGGTCACCAAAATACCTTAGATACACCTAGAATGATAATTGGAACAATGTTTATATTCATGACATAGAACAAATTTGCTTCTAAGTGTTGGTTTACTTTGTAATGCCATTTTCATGATGCTAGTTTGACCAAAGTTGAATAGTAGCTTAGAGTGTTTGCATGGCTGTGTGACCTAAATAAAAGTTGTAGTTCACATCATGGGTAGCAAACTTTTTTTAAGGGTCATGAGCTGAATCAGTGTCTAACATGGTCAAATAGAGCTCACAAGTATCAACAAAATGTTGTTTTGTGAATTAAAAATTTTCTAAGTGTTGAATGCTGATTTCAGTTTCAAGTGCACCACTTTGGAGCACTATAGTTTGGAAAACATGGCGAATTAGACAAAACTCCTCTAAGTAATCTTGTAGTACTCATGTAGCTCTACATTTTCTATCAATAAAGTTTTCACTGATTCACCACGGTTTGGGAGATTGGGAGGTCAGAAAATTGAGTTTCAGTCGACTGATTCGAGCTTGCCGGTTCAAAATTTTAGCCACGTTGTGGCCGACCGGCGCAGGCCACGCGCACCACCAGGTGGCTGTCCACCGGCGTTGGCCCCACCGGTTAGGCCGGAGCGAGCATAAGTGGACGCCGCGTCGCGCTCGCCCTCCCACTCGTGCTCACTCTCTGCCTCCCCTCGCCTCGCTCTTGCTTTCTCCTGCCAAAGAGAAACCAAGCGCCGTCGCCATTACCACCGACCTCTGCCGTGCTCACGCACCACCGCCATCACGCCGTTGCCTAACAGTCCATGCACATAGCTCGGCTGTGAGTCGCTCCACCTCCCCGAAACGCCTGTGCCACCATCCGAGCTCAGGTGAGGCCGCATTTCACGTCGCCGTCGTCGTCATAGCCACGGTGCGTCGCCGAGCTCCGCCGCGCTCGCTCGCTGCCACCGCCGCGCCATCATTCAATTCATCTCGCCCACAGCTCAGCCATCACCTCCTCCACCTTGCCGACCACCTAGCATCACTGTTCAAGCCTAGGTATAGCCACAGTTCAAGTTCACCGTCGTCGCGCCATCGCCGAAGCACCACCGAGCTTGCACTTGCTGTGGCCGTGCTCCACCGCGCAGTCACGCTCTCTCTTTTCTTGTGTTAGGGTTAGGGTAGAGCTAGGTCTAACTCAGGGCAAGAGCCTAAGGCTGATGCCGGCCTCGTCGGAGCGGATCACCGATGTGCTTTCACCGCCGTGCCGCCATGCGCGCGACCAAGCTTCACCGCCGCTCCACCGTAACCCAACTTAACCCTAGATCTCCGCTACGCCACCAGAAAGCTGTAGCCGACCTCGCCTGAGCATGCCGTCGGTGAGTTCTCGCCGATCAAAGCACCGCCTCTGTTCTATTTCACTGTCGTGTGGGGCCGGGTTGACCGCGGGCCCCCACTGTCAGCGCCTCTATGGTGTATAGACCGGGTGCACCTAGCATTTAGGGTTTAATTGGTTTTTCGTTTATTTTTCACAGATTCGAATACTAACTTGCAAAAATTATATCTAGAGCTAGGAGTATACAAATGGGGTGAACCAAATTTTGTTAGATTTATCTTGAAGTTTACTATTTGATAAAAATATGAAATCTACTGTTTAGGGTACTTTTCTGGGAGAATGAAATTGAGCAAGTTGAGTGCTTTTAAATTAGTTTATATTTTATAAATTGCATATCTTGAGCCAGAGAAGTGCAAAATTGTGATTCCAATTTTGATGATCTTGTGTTGACATTCTCTAGCTAGGAAAAAATATTAAACCTACAGTAAACGTACTTGAAATATGGTCTTCCTATAAAATCTTAATTAATTACTAGTTTCTAGTGAAATTAATTGGGGTAAAAATACATAACATATGATAATGCAAATTTTTACATAGTATTCTCATGCTAGGAGCAAAGTAAGAAAAATATTAAATCTGTTGTTTGACACATTTCACTATGCTAAACTATTTTTGCTAAAATAAGAATATGTAACTTGTCATTTTTGTAGAGGTAGTTATACTTATCAAAATGGCATGAAATTTATACAGAAGACTATTAGAGTCATATGTAAGTTACAGTAATTTTTTAAAAATTTATTGAACTCTGAAAATATTTATCCTGTAAATCACCTTATTATCTAAGGAAATTAATAAAGGAATATAAATAAATTAGTTAGGCTTAACCATAATGTTTTCTGTGGTATTTTTTATGCATATAACCTATTAATGTTATTAATTAGGCTTAGAAGTATTTGTTTATAGGCAACTAGTTAATTATTGCTTTATAATTTAACTAGATGGCTGCATGTGTAATTTCTGTTGTAGTGATGATTCCATGATGATAATGATCCTTTCTGTAAAACTTGTTAATAAAAAAGTTATAGATAACTTACTTATCTATCTTGTGTTAAATTTTCATAGTCATAGGCCTTATGGTTTAGGAATTATGGCGGTTAGAAGTCTTATGTTAGAAATGCTTGTTCTCTGGACAGACCTAAGAGATTGAATTGGTTGACCTAGATAACTGATGAATCATATTAAGATGATTAAAATAAAGTTATAGGCAATTTTATAAGCTTTCTAGAAAGTCCATAACCATATTATTTGGATGTATATAACTCCAGTTATGGTCAAAACAAATGGCTATTGTCTTGTAGTCCAGAAAATATTTTGCATAAGTATTTGTTTAGTTACTAGAGAAGAGATATGCACCTACTCAGTAAAAGAAAATGTAACTTGTTATCACCTCAATACAATGCTATGGAGAACACTTATGAGGGTGCATTTTATCATATCATATCATATTCTCCATGTCACTATATATGTATTCATGATATCTTATTCCATGCTCATACATATAGGATCGTCCGAAGGGATAACTCTGTTGGAGTTCGATGAAGAGCCGGAGGAACAACAGGAGGCACCACAGCCCATAGCTCCAAAAGGCAAGGAGCAAGCTCTTGAGGACCTACCCGAGTGCCTAGATCACAGGCCATCTTCTTTTATCAAAGGCAAGTCCCGGAGCATTCTAAGTCTCATATGTTTTACAAAATCTCACTTGAGTCCTTTTATGTTTGATGCATTAGGTTATAAGAGTGGAACTGGAAACACTTGATGCATAGAACTACCTTGTCCAGATATATATACCTTTAACCCTATGTAGGTCTAGGATCGAATATATGCTTAGCCATGCTTAGACCGGTGAAAGTCGGGTGATTTCCTGTCACCTGCGAGATATTGGTGGATACCGAAGCATGGTTGGCTATATTTGCTAGCGTAGAAAAGAACCATAGGGTAATAGAATTGGAGGTCGGATGGAGTCTATTTGTAGGTTGACTCATGTGATTCCGTCTGTGCCGATTAAGGACCGTACCGTTGTTGGCACTTCTATTGAGATTGAACACATGCCTCTCACTTAGCTGGCCGGATAACTCATTCCAATCGTGAAGCCGAGTAGCTCAACTCAGACCGGGCCCCGTTCTATAATAGTGCACACTCTAGATGGTAGTAAGGATGTGCGGGGAGCCAGACGTAAGCCCAAAGGTAGGCCGGTCCTGAATGTCCTATCAGCTGGTTATCCCTGATTGTGCGGCGCTGATCGAACCCGCGAAATGT